GTGGGGGGGTGGGCTGAGGCTGCCTGACCCTCCCAGCTTGGTGGGTTTCTGTCCCCAGTGCTTCGCATGATGGGCTGTGCCCCCTGCTCTGCAGGGGACAGCTCCGAGAGCCGTTTGCACCTTCGCACCCTCCCATCAGGACCCTCTGCAAAAGCTCCCGGTGCTCCCAGCGCAGCCGACATCCCTGACACCATGTCCTCGCATCAGCCCCCAAAACAGCTGTCACCTTTTCACAGTCCCTGAATTGTTCCTGGGGCAGCAGGAGCAAGGGTACCCATCCCTCCTCAGTGCCCACTCGCGCCTTCCCAGCCCCGGGCACACTCTTATTTCCTCTGGCAACCATGACTGACATTTTTCTGCCCTCAACCTTCACGGCACCTCTCTGCCCCCACGTACAGCACTACCTTTCCCCTGCCCCCTTCTGCCCTGAAAGTGCAAACCTGGAAAACATCCCCTGCACTGCAACATTTTTTCCTTCAGTCCCTAGATGGAGTAAGACTGCCTCTGCACAGGCATTGCCTTCTTCCTTATGTTTTTTTCTTGTTTAAATAATTTCACGGTTAATCGTTCCACATTCAATAGCTGCCATCAGCTCATCAGATGTAATATCCTCCACCACCACCACCACCAGAAACCCGGCTCCCACCCACGGCCCGTGCACGCCATGGCACAGGGATGGGCATGGCCACCTCTTGGTCACCTCTGTCCCAACCAGGGCAGGGAGGTGGTGGGGCTGCAGGGAGACCCAAGGATCAGCCCCACACACGGAAATGCTGGCCCTTACCTTGTCCTCCAGCCTGCCGATCAGCTTGGCCAGCCTGTTGATCTGCCCCTCCAGCCCCTCCGCCTTGGTGTCAGAGGAACCTGCGCAGAGCCAGGAGGCAGTGATGGAGTGAGAGGTACCCGCGGGCACCCCCCGAGAGCCCCACTGCCCTCCAGGGAAGTCGAGCACCGCCTCTGTGCTGCGTTCGGGGCCGCAGCTCCCTTCCCCGAGCACCCCGAACCACCCCAGGCTGCCAGTGCGGTCTGAAAGTGGCCATTGCTTACCAGTCTGGAAGCTCTTCCCGTGCTCCCTGGGGACCATCCGGCTGGTGGGAGAGTAGCTGGGCACAGGGCTGTCGTACCAGCTGTCCATCAGAACGTGGCCAGCCTTGCTGGGGTAGTGCCTGCAACCAGAGAGCATACAGGCCGTCAGGCAGGGCAGAGCCGGGCACGTACAGCACGGCAGGAGCTGGCCCCGGCGAGCTGACATTGGAGCATCCTCTTTGGCAGCTCTGCCGCTGATGCCAGACCCCTTGGAGAGCAGCAGTGCCCGCACCGTGACCAGGCAGGGCAGGCTTCCCTCCCGCACCATCCTTCAGCATCACCCGGTACAGGGAGTGGGTCAGAATTAGAGCAACATCAGTGGCTGCTCCCAGCAGCCGGCACTTTTCGTTCCTGCTTATGAAACACCACAGCACCCTCCCGGCATCTCCTGCAGCCCTTGGGGATTTTTTTCTCCCCTAGGCAGACACCCACAACATTGGGCATTTGGGCGCCGGTAGCTGTGCCCAGCTGGCTGGCTGCACCTTAGCGGGGCTGGTTTTGCAGTCGGATGGCTTTGGTGAGTAACACATGGGAAAAGTTGCTGTCACACGCCCGAAGTGCTGCCTGTGAGCAGGGGAAGCCTGCCCGCCTGGCAGCCTGGTCGTGCATCCCACCGAGAGGCTGCGGGTGCGTTCTCCTGGAGAATGGAGACACAGCCACCGTAGGAACTCCTTCACCTTGCTTCTTCCTCTGGGGCTACAAAGCCCATTTGGCCTGGCTCATCCTGCAACACCTTTTGGAGAAAAGGAGCATGTGCATGCATGTGTGTGTGTCCATACGAACACATACGCGCTCATGCATGCATGTACCCCTTGAGACATCACCTCAGCTGGTGGTCCCCCAGGCCCTCCTTCATTTGCAAGCCAGAGAGGATGCTAAGACGTGCCATCCCCACAAAGGTTTGCAGCTGCCATCCATGTGAGGCGAGATGGGATGGGTTTGGGGAAGGATGACACTCTCTTTCCTTCCTCCTCCACCGATGGGAAGGCTGAGTCGCAGAGGGAGAGGCTGAGCTGCTCAAGGGGTTTCCTTCCAGCGAGAGCAGCTCCATGCCCGGCTGCCCCTGGAGCCCTGGCTCCTCTTGGCATCTCTTGCCAGCCATGCGATTCCCGGCTGGAGGCAACATGCTGAGCACTGGGGAGCTGATGGGCCCAACACCGGCCAGCATCGTCCCTGCCCTCCTGTCCCTCCCCAGGCACCCGGCTCCCTCCAAAGCACAGCAGCCGGGTGCCCTCTCTACACTCCCCAGCTACCCCAGGCAATTTCGGCTGGCTCCTTCGGTGCCAAGGGAGCAATGTCCGGGCTGCTGTTGTCCCCCAAAATCAGCCAGTGTGGACTTGAAGATGCACATGGGAACACGATGAGCGGATCTGGTCCCCAAGACCATCCCCAAGATAAGGAAAGAAGAAGAGCGATAAAGGTGGCAGAAACATCCCCGTTGCTACAGGCTGTGCAATAATCCCACTGCCGGAGCTGAATAATCTCTCATCAATCGGCAGGAAATTAGGTGAGAACAGACAGACATTTCTTTTTAATCACAACTTAATGAGGTGCCTCAGGCTTGGATGCTCTGCTCTTGCACTTTGTTTTACAGCCCTTTATTTTGGTGCTTTTTAGGCCACCTCTTTGTCTTCATGTGGATGCATGAAATCATTTTTTGTAGTGGGGTTTGGGGGGTTTTTTTTTGGCTATTATCACCATGAGAAAACAACTACAATATTCCTCATTATGAACTGCGTCCACACGTCAGCAACTAAAAGCCAGCAAAGTCTTTCATGGGCTCTAATTGCTTTGTCTGATGTTGGGCTTGTTTCCTCCTCATTGTTTCCCAGGAGCTCTTACTGAAAAAGCAAGTTTTGTACAAGGTTTGCCACAGGCCAGCGGTTTCCTTCCAAAATGGGGAGAAGAAAGCAATGTGGGTTGATGAAACCCAGAGCATTCTTCCTAGGAAAGCTGGTGAGATGTCACCAGAGCGGCCCAGGGCCTCACTGTGTCCCAGGCAGCAACAGCTCCCGTGAGAGCAGCCCACTGCCGCCCGCCCAGGATGCAACTGCTGCTGATGCTAAAACCCAAAGCGCCAAGACCTGGCTGCAGTGAAGCATTTGGGCACGTCGGCCCCTGCAGTGTTCCAGCTGGGAGCTGGGATTTTCATTCTCTGTGGTCTGTGTGCCTTGGCCCACTCTGCCCGCCCGCATGGGGACCCCCACCCCCCCCCGCCGAGCATCCCGTGGCCTCCTGGTTTGCAGGTATGGCAGGAGAGGGATTCGCTTCATGAGCAGCTGATGAACGGTTTCCGTGGCAACCTGTCCTAGTTACAGCCAGTGAAAGCGGTACTCCAGGGAGGCGAGTGACACTGTGACACCAAGGGGGGCTGTGCTGAGGTTTGGGCTGTGCTGCTAAGTATCCTTTACATTTTAGCCCAGGCAGCACTTCCGAAACCTTGACATTTTCCCCTCTGTGTTCTCCAAGCTCGGTAGCATGTGCCAGGCTGCTGGGATGGGGACGGTCCCCTCACATGGGACCCGAGGACGGCAGTACCTGTCCCCAGTGCACAAGCACCTTTCACCTCCGTGGATGATTCCACCCGCTGGGTGCCCTGGCAGGAGAGACAGCATCCCTGACATGGGAAGCCGCCCGCTGCAGGCTGTCCCCAGCGCACCCCAGACACAGCCACCCTGCTGCTGGTGCTTGTGTTTTACCCTGGACGAGACAGGTGGCTTTGCTCAAAGAAGCAGCCCCGTGCACCCAGTGCTGCCCAGCCCGGCCCCAGGGTGCTGCCCCCTTGTTTGCATCGCCCCCCCCGCACCGCTCGTGGGTGAAGGGGTCAAGAGGGACCCTTAGGGCTGTGGGAGGGTAAGGGACAAGGCAGGACAGAGCGGCAGAGGAAAGCCCTGAGAGCTCTCAGGAAGCCAAGAAGGGAGGCAAAGAGAAAGGCACCCGCTCGCCCGCCTCCCCTTTGCTCCTGCACACCGTCTGCTGCATTTTCCCTCGCCCCACAAAAGCATCCTCCTCCTCTCCCTCCACCCCCCTCCACCGAAATCAACTGGGAAGCGGAGAGGAGGGCAGGAGGTGCCGCAGACCTGGCGGGGTTGGTTTGCTCGTCGATGGCGTCCACGGCACTCTCCACAGAGCTCAGGCGACTGGGTACACCTGCCAAGGCAGACAGCGAGCACGGTGAGACCCAGCGCCGACTGCCCAGAGCCGGTGGGTACCCCGGCGGGGTACAGCGTCCGTCCAACATCCCACGCGCAAGCTGGTCCCCTCCGTGTCCCTGACTGTAAGGGCCACAGGAGGAATGAGCACACACTGTCCCACCCCACGGGAAGCATATAGCCCTCCAGTATCCGTGGGTTGCCCAGCATATAGCCCCTCCAGCTTCTATCACCCTTGGGACAGACTTATAGAGGCTGTGGCGGGAGGGAGTGTGGGCAGCGAGGCACATCAGCATTGCTTTATTTATAGATAAATATTTAGAGATAAATAAAGCAACGTAAAGAGGCGATTACCCAAAGCCCATAGTTGCTCTCTTTACTGTGATCTTAAATTACCTTACTATTGCCTCGCAGGGTGAGAGCCAGCGGGTGCAGGTATGAAAAGTGGCACCTCCTGGGTGCTAGGGAGACCCCTACGCCGAGAGCTTCAGCATGTTACTTAGTGCCTCAGTCCATAACGGTACAGCCAACCCAGCGCTAAAGTAAAAGGGGTTTGGGATGATTAATATGGCTCTCACCGGGGAGCTGCAAGCTGAAGATGCCTTCAAGCCAGCGGCAGAAAGCTCTGGCAGTCCCCACCCAGCCTCCCTCCCTTCCTGCACTGTGAGACAAGATCCTCAGCATATTTTGGCGTTAGTTTGGGTTTTTTTTCCTGAAGAGGGAGAAAAGGAAAGCTCTGGCCATTTGGGGCCAGAGGCAGGATGGAGGTGTTGGACTGGTTGGAGTGGTGTTGGGCCAGTGTTGGACTGGTTGGGCCAGTGTTGGACTGGTTGTGGCAGTGTCGGTCCGGTTGTGCCAGTGTCCCGCCTGTGCCGGTGGCTGGCAGGAGGTGGAGAAGCAGGACTGTGCCATGGGCAGAGCGCGGCAAGGCTGTGCTGGGGAAGGGGCCCTGGGTGAGCAGGAGGCAGGCTGCTCCCAGGGAGCTTTGGTGGAGGAGGACGAGCTGTTTGAGCAGCAGAAGCTCCTGGGGTAATCCAAACCCTCCCAAGACAGAAAACACTTAATAAAATGTTTTAACAGCACAACTGATCTGCTTAAAGCACCCAGGGCCCCTTCCCCAGCACAGCCTTGCCGCGCTCTGCCCATGGCACAGTCCTGCTTCTCCACCTCCTGCCAGCCACCGGCACAGGCGGGACACTGGCACAACCGGACCGACACTGCCACAACCAGTCCGACACTGGCCCAACCAGTCCAACACTGGCCTAACACCACTCCAACCAGTCCAACACCAGCCCAACTGGTCTGACCCCAGCCCAACCAGACCAAGACCAGCCCAGCCAGGCCACTGGCCGCATCAGGTCTGGCTGAAGCTAGTCAGAGCTAAAAAAACTTGCAGTGAAAAAAAAGGCTCCTCTAAACCCAAACTCAGTAGCATCACTTTTCCCCCAGACCCTTTCCAACCCATCAGTGCCTGCTGGGACAGCACACGGCCCAGGCAAAACCCTGTGTGCCGGCACCTCCTGGCATGGGACTCCAGGACTCATGACTTTTTGGTGCCATGAGCCAAGGACGGACCCACCCGGCTCCCTGCACGCCGCCGGCAATGACCAAACTAAGGGGTGAGACCAGAGTGGTCCCAGCACCACCAGTTATATGAGCACGCTGCAGCACAACATGACTACCCCAAGCTCCCCAAAGCAAATTATTCTTGTTTTATGGCAAAGCGATTAACGAGGGTTATTTCCATGGCAACTGGAGCAGCTCCGCAAGAACCCGGAGGACCTTTATCTCCTATTTTAAATCATAGAAGAAAAATGAGCTGAAGAAAATCACTTCTGGGAAAACTGGTCGCAGAGCTGATTTCTCACCCCTGATTTGGTAGGGGAGCACAAGTTTCTTGATGGCTTCTTGAGCATCCAACTAGCGTGGTGGTTAGTGACTTCTCTCTAACACAAAAAAACTTGCTCCCCTCCCCATCACAGCCGCAGTGTTTCTGGGGGACACACACAACGCGGTGATCATCGCCGGACAATGATGCTGAAGCAAACTGCCATGCAGTGTGCCATATTCATGATCTCCTGCAGCTGTTCACTGTAGCACCATTGGGTGGCAGGGAGGGAGATGTAAGGAGGGCTGCATCGATGTGCTGTGTTGCTCTTTCACCAGCACAGCCTGTCCCAGGACACCGGTCAAACGGAGACGGGACCGGCTCAGGGCACTCCATGGGCTGCAGCAGATCTGCATGAGGACCAAGCAATGGGATGCTCCTCAGGTTTGGGGGATGCACTCAGCAGTGCACACGGGACCCTGCCACCTTTTGAGCCTTTCTACAAACAGGACCATGCTCCCCTCTGCAGCCCCAGCGCTCCCCAGCACAGCCCAGCGTGCTCCACCAGCACCACCATTATCCGACAGCCGGGCCAGAGGGAGGAAAGCTGGCATCAGTGCAGGATACGGGGAGATGCGTCAGAAGACTGGGGGGGGTGCGCGGATCTCCCTGGCCAGGGATCGTCAAAGCCTCAGAAACACAACCCTTAATACTGAGTGATCACCTCTGAGTTATCTCCTTCCTCCACGGCCTGGCAGTGTTTGAAAACAAGGTCAGCCAGCTTAGAAAAACCCGCTCACCTGCTGATCGTTAACAGTGAGATTCATAATGCCCTGAAGCCAAGTGCAGATGGTGCGGCACCACTCGCCCATACGAATGAGCACGGGACAATGAGCATGATGGAGCAGTGTCCCCATCCGGGCTGCCTCGAGACCGCCTCTGCCTCGCCGGGGGGAACCGAAGATCGATGTCTCCCTCACTCTCTGCCTTGGGATTTTGCCTTATTTTACCAGGGAGCGGAGCTGCAGGTGTCGTGCCACGAGACCATGCAGTCTCCTGGGGCTGGTTGCGCTTCCTTGCCTGCTACAGAGGGTTGCTGGGCTTTTTGGACCAGGACGCCGGTGCCACCATGCCGAGCTCGGACATCTCCTGACAAGTCCTGCCCGGTTTTCCCTCGCCCCGTGCAGGCAGGGAGAGTAATGAACAGCAAGCCTGGGACCATGGATGCAGCAGCTGGTGGAGCACTGCACCGGGCCCCGCTCCGTGGGAGGCACAGGCACCAGCGTGAGACAAATAAACAGCAACAGAGCCAAGGGAGTGATGTGAAAACATTTGATGAGCATTTGGATTGGGAAAAAAAAATTTGAATGCAGCCACAAATATTCCTGGATAGCTGGACAATCTCTGTTCTCTCTAGAAAAATACTCACAACTCGCTCAGAACGTGCACTATACACTATATATAGGTATGTATTCTTTCCAAGCACCATATTACACATATACACACAGACATACATGTCACATCCGAACCAGTCTGTATAGACAATGTATTAAAGTCACTGTCAAGGTACCTCACCCTTCATCTTCCTCTGCCGGCACGCTTTCGAAAGAGCGCTACACTGGGCCAGATCCACCCCTTTGCCCAGGCAATTATTTTATCATTTAATACATCTTCCACTATTCACACTCTGGCTAAGGAGGGTGTATTAAACTAGTAAATCTCCTTGGCAAAGACATATCATTGCATTTGGGATCTGAAACAACTTCTTTCGCAGTTCCCCCCCTCCACGGCTGCTCTCCCCGCGCACGCCCCTGCCTGCAACCAGCAGCCTGCCCGTAATGAAGGCATAAATATATTAATCAGGTGCTCAAACAGGCTCTCCTATAATTACAGATAGGTTTTGATTAACTCTCACACCCAGCCATCCTCTGATTGCTGGCGCTGGGGATCTGATTGCTGCCTCGGCGGAGGGCGGCTGTTCCTGTGGGCTGGGGGGCTATGTCCCTCATCGTGGATTTAATATAGACCCGCAGGCCTCTGGGAGCTGCTGCCGCTAAACACGGAGCTGTGCGCACTCCTTCGAGTGGCTGATTGGATTATTCTTTTAATTAAGAGCGCAGGTTTTCTGGGACATGATTTGCCCTGCCGAGCCTGGGGGCTGGATGCAAGCTGGCTGGAGCTGGGGGCTGCACCCCACCCCAGGCCCCAAGACCCCCACTGCTGCTCCAAGCACTACTGCACTGCAAAGGCACAGTAATTCCCCATTAATGTCCCTTTCCAGCGAGACCTACACCACCACTGCCTTGTCCTCTTCTCCTCTGACAGTCATCCAAACCACGTACCACATCCCCCACGGATGCCCCAAGCCCGTCGACTGATTTTACACCCGCTCCTTGCTGTTTATCCCACACTCAGTTTCCCTTCCAGACGTGCAAAGAGTGCACCACTGCTTCTCCATTTCAATCCCTACATCAAATAAATGGGCTAACGTGCTGCTATTCACCTCCTCTTTGCTGCTGCTCTCCAGGACTCCATAGCCTGTCTCCTGCAAATGCCACCAAACAATTTCCTGATCAATCCTTCCCATGCCTCGTGTGAACAGATTGCTCTCCCTAGCAAAGGAGCCTGCCCCTTTTGGAAAATCATATTTATGAAGGTGCAGACTATGCTGAGTGCTGTCTGATCACAGGGACTGGCTCCGGGTCCTAGAATATAAGGCTGCGAGAGTATGCGTAGTTAAATGTTGGGATTTTATTACCTAACTACAGCCTATAATCTTGGTTCAGCTTTAGGAAAAATCATACAGGTCGTTCCCACGTTCATTTAAATCAGCCTAACTCCCTACATCGAGATTCGTTGGATGGATGGATGTTGGGTACAAAGCTACGCCAGCTGGTGCAGAGGAATATTGGGGTGTCCGTGAAGATAAGATGCTTTTTGGCAGGCCAGTAAATCCAGTAGCTCTGAAATTAAAACAACGGTGGGGTTTTTTTCCCCTGCTTAACTAACCCTGGCCATTTGCCAACCCAGTTGTGACATTTGCTCTCAGGAGCCAGGTCTGAAATACGTGTGCTCAGAGGCTTCTCAAAGAGCCCTCTGGCTCTCCTCTAGCAAATGTCTTAGTTGGCGTTGCAAAAACAAGTCATTAAGAAGACCAGCTCCAAAGGAATACTTCCCATCGTCTTATTAAAACATTTGTCAGTCTGTCCTAGGGAGATTTAATGAGGTTTGGTCTTATTACTTCCACCCTGAAGAGTTATTTCCTCCCTGCTTTGCTTGAGAAGTTAAAATATTTATGGCGATAATATAATAATTGCTGCTCAATGAAGCCGCTTTGTGCCAGAAGCTCTTGGAGGGGTGCATCTCCAAGCCTGCTCTTTTCCACCCAGCTAGTCCATTAGTTCAAGGCTAGGAAGACTTTGGTGTCACAGATACTACCCTGCTACAGAGTGTTTTGCTGGCAAGCCTTGGTGGAGGAAGGAGCACGGCGGCTGCCAAAGAGGCAGGAAGGTGAAAAAAGGCATCTCTCCCTTTGCTACATCCCCAGCCGCCTGGCCTTGACGTCTGCTGCTGCAAACGGGTGGTTGCGTGCATCTGCAGTGAGGAGCAAACGTAAAAGCCGCGTCAAAAGGATGGCCTCAAGATTTCTGCAGGGGACAGCTCTCAGGAGAGCCTCGGAAAGCGTCACCGTTTGAGAAACTGGGGCATGAGCCAGAGACATTGAAAAATGAGAGAAGGAAGGAGTGGGAAAAGGACAACTTGCTTTAGTCACAGGTAATTGGGGAAATATTGCCCAGTGTTGGGTCCTCTGGTCAGTTGGCTGAGGTGCGGGCCCCGCCTCCAATCCCGCTCTTCACATCACAGGCTTTTTATGTGCCTGCAACGCACCTTCCCACACACAGCGGGTGCACACGTCGGGGCACAGGCTGCTCAAAGTCCCGCCACGGCTCTTCCAGCTTTCCATTTCCATACGCACCTGCCCCAAATCTGCCCAAATTCTGGCACAGATTAATGAAAACACCCTTGGGATGTGTTACCTGTGCAAATCACAGCTGGGATTTTCGTGCCGTTGAGTGCTCGGACTTGCCAACAGCGGCGTCGAGCATCCCTCACCGGGCATTGCAAACTGATGCCTAAAACTGGGCTCTCATGGCCGTGTTCCTGTGGGTATCAAATGACTGAAAAAGGAGATTTTTCGATGTTGTTAGGCATCTCAAAGCTTCTTTGCTGGCATTTTTAAAGGTCACTATTTAGCTTGTTAAGACTACAGGTTGTAAACTATAAACGATTCAGCGCCACCCACGGACTCGGAAACCCCCTGCAACAGCCCTGCACCCTCCCTTTGCCTTGCAGCGTTACAGCCTGACCAATGAGGCTTTCCAGAGCTGGTTTTCAGTGAGATTGGCCAAATTGGCTGACATTTACCAAGCCTGGGGACATTGACGGCTTCTCCAATTTTTATTAACTCAAATCACCGCCGAAGCACGGCCACGGAGCGATGGCACCGAACCGAGGAGGCTTTTCAAATGGAAACCAAAGCCAATTCTGTTTCACCCACACTTTTCCTCCAGTTAAAAAAAATCCAACCCAACAACAAACCCATTGCCATGCCATGAAACACCCCTGTCAAACCTCATCCCGGGATGACGGAGAGGTTATCTTCCACCCACTCAGCCCTTTAAAAACCAGGCAAGTGTTGCACTGTAACCTCCAAGTGGCTGATTTAAATTTGTTGCTCATAATTGCCTGTTTTCTTCCAAGAGATATTTTCTTATAATTAGAATAACACTCAGACCTGCCTCTCGCTCCTTTCCCTCCCCCCGACTCTTAGATCCCTTGAAAAGCGGAGACCCAAACTGATTGCCTGGCACATAATCAGTAGAAGAAACCTGAAGAGAACAGACACTTAAATAGTTGATAAATGAAAGCATTAACATATGAAAGACCCTCAGCCTTCCCGAAACAGCTCTAAAAAAACAAATGAGACACCTGCTTAGATAAAAAAACATGACGACGGCATCACACGGGTTTTAAAAGTCTTTTGCTATAAAATCCTCCTTTTATAAATCTCGGTGTTGGACCCTTCTCAGCTCATGTTTGCCTTGTCCCATCCTGAAGGTCTCCTGCCATGGACCCTTCCCAAGCAATTTATCACAGGACTTCCCTCTTCTCATTATTAGAAAATCTCCGTGCTGCAAAATCATCCCATCGTTTCTTGTTGCAGCCACGTGGATGTGAAGGGCAGGTAACTGTTGGCCCGTGCATGTGCTATACAGCACACCCCCTGAGGTGACCTATGGATCAAGAGGCATATGGCACTTTTGCACCCTGTCCACTTAGCAGGCAAAGAACAGACTTGGAAATGAAGAGTGGCCTCCTCCTTCTGAACACGCTGGCTATAATTAGTCTTTCCCTTCACACAAGTTCCTAATTAGCTGTATTTAGTATCCAAAAGACTAAATTAATACATCTTTTATTTCAGTTTTCCAAGGAAAGTACAGATTTTATTTTCCAAACAGGACCTACTCAAAAGACCCTGCAGATGTAACGACGTGGGATGGTCAAGCTGCTGAAGGCTCACCCTGGTTGTGCCAGCTGGTTACACATTGACTTGGTCCCTGCCTTTCCTTTTGGTGGCTCCTTCAAAGCTGCTCTCGGGCTATTTGGCAAGACCACAGCACTGACGTCTGGTGGATTTATTCCCTTCACCATACAATTTATCTAATCCCAGGAGCAATAGCCTTAAAACAGGAGGGAGGAGGAGGAAAACCATGTAATGCAGGAGGTCCATGAGAGCTGGAGCCAGGGCAGCACGAGCGGGACCTCCAGAGAAGATGCTCTTCCTTCTCAGAGCGAGAGGAGGGACATGAATTTTGCAGTGACAGACAAGCAGAAGAGCAGTGAATAAACATCTTCGTCTAAAAATAAGCTCCAAGAGAGACCTTCTTAAGATTCACCTCCCTGCCAGCCCCGCTGTGCTCCCCAGCAGTCTGGCAGCCCGGCTGGATCTCACGCACAGCCCTGTGGGGCTGGCAAGGAAATCGCTCCAGATGGCATCGCACAGAGAACCGGCTTTCTGGTCTAGAGTCTGAACAGAAAAGTTGGGGAAAATGCAGTTCTTGCAGAACTGGAGTAGCACTTAATTTGCAGTGCAGTTTTTTCTTTAATTTCAGAGAAGAGCTGCAGAAATACCTTCTGAGAAGCTAAACAAATACGCCTTGTTTCCTTTTAGATTATTCTTGAACTGTAAAATTCCATAACTTTTCCAGAAATCCACCTCTTTTTTTTTTGCGATAGAAATTGATACTGAAACTGTATAGAAATGTATCATTCAAAATATACGGAAAGATGACAGCCTTTACCAATTCACCACCCCACCGCCACTCCTTTCTTTTTTCAGCCAAGACCATTCACCATGAGTACATCTTTAACTGCATTATAGGAGTGTTTCAAAGCTGGCATTTCACCATAAAATCACCCATCCAAGAAAGGGGCAAAAAAGCAGCTAATAATCCCTAAAACAACTCCCTCCCCATCAGGGTAGATCCCTGTGCTGCAAAGGTGAGGACAGATGATGCTCTGAGCCCCCCAGAAAAGGCAAACTGGCCATTTGAGCAAACGTCCTGAGCCCTAAAGAAGAGCTAACGCTTCCAAGGGGGAAGACGATGACAAGGTGTGCAGGATCTCCCAGGGTTCAGCCAGGTACAAAGTACCAGGAGATAAGCTGTTCCTGTGTTTGGCAGCAAGGAAGCCAGAGAAGCGCTTCTCCGAAGGAGAGCCTGATGTGCGGTAGGGTACGAATTTGCCCAGGAGGAAAGATGAAGCAACAGATGTGCTGCGCTGTAGTGGTACCCCACGGGCTTCAAGCCCGGACCAGGAGACCTCAGCTGATGCTCATGTAACCACCATGGCTTGGTGCGAGCCAAGTCGGGGCCAGATCACGATGTCTATGGGAAGCCCTGAGCAGCTCACGCTGTTTGGGCTGGGCACTACCCAGAGCTGCTACTGCCGTGTTGCTGTTACAGCCTGCCACGGGCCAGCCTCCTGCCGCAGCAAAGCACTGCTCCAGGAGCCTCAGACGACCTCGGTATGAACACCAAGTTTGTTCAGCAGAGTAGGAGAAAACCTGCTCAAGTAAAATGAAAGGACGAGATAAAGGATTAACTGGAGGGTGGGAGGAAAAGATTATTTTTAAGGATTATTTCTACTGAATATTTTATCTCGAGGTGTCATCATTCAAAAAAGAGCAGTATCAGATTTGGCAAGCTTAATTTTGGCAGGTAAGAATGCAAATGGGAGCACTCTATATTGCTGTTCTGGACTGTGCTATAAAACAAAAAAACCCATCCATCATTTTTAGCATCCAAGACTGGTGACAGATGGTGCTTGCTCTGGGGCTGTAACTGAGCGCCTCAAACAAGCGCTCCTTTGCAGTGTGCTGCTGGTGGCTGAAAGCTGGGGGAGACCCACGGCCACACCGGCACCAGCAGCGGGGAGAGGAGGTCTGCTGCAGCAGCTCCCACCGAGCCCCAGGAGCCCAGCATCTCCTGCTCACTGCGATGACATGTCATAAGGCAGAGACAAGAAGGGTGAATTGCAGCAGGAACAATTTAACTCACAAATAACGTATGCAAACCTATTCACCCGTACGTATACACCTGCTGGAGCATCAACAGCTGGTATTGAAGGTCAGTCCACTCAGTTTTCCCTTTATGATTTACATATGCTCTCATCTAAATAATGATTCTCAGGGGGAAATGCGTTTGCAGCTGCTTTGGGTACAGTGCCTGTCCATAAGACACACGTGTGGTATTTGGCACCCTGACACGAGAAGGCTCTCAGGGGGTATGTGATGTGTCACCACTTGGTCATATTTCCACTCCAGGTCCAGTAAATGAGATAAAAAGGATTTTGGCAAGTGATAGGCTGGCAGTGGAGCTGGCAGCAAGCAAGCAAGGAGTAAAAAACTGCCTTTCACATCTGCTTTTGCTCCCCTCTAGGACCAAAGGTGATGCTGAACATCAAGCAGAGGGTGGTCCAGGGCCACACGCAGGTCCTCAGGCCTCCTCCATAAATCCCTCCTGCTGCCTCTCACTCCTCCCTGAAGCCAGTCTCTGAATCCCCCCTAATTTGTCAGCACCCCCCTCCCCTGCTCTGCTCACCCCATTCCTGGCCTGAAGCAGAGCGGTGCAGCCTTTCCCCGCACTGTGTTCATGAGCACCAGAGAGATCAGCTCCATTTCATTCCAGTATGTGCATGGGAGCCTGTTGCAATTTCAGCTCCGATTTTGGGCAATTTTGCTTTCCAAGCACTCCCCTTCCAGCTGGGACAGGGCACGCGCCAAGGACGGTCACCAGTACTTCTTGGACCCATCTGGTGCCCAACAGGAGCATCTCGAGGAAGGAACAATTTGACCTTAAATCTGAGCTGCTTCGTCCTTGAGGGCGTTCCTCACTCAGAATTTTTGGGACTTCTTTGCAGCTTGCTTTTAAAGTTTGCCTCACTGCTAAAGGTCAGCCTTGCTAATGTTTCCATGCTCAGTGTTGCAAAATGCTTACTTGGCAAAAGCGG